TCCATCTGTCATTTGAAATAAACCCGCAGCACCCCCAGGGACCAAAGATATCACTTCAAAAGCCCTGTCCACTCCTGCCCCGCGGGTCGAGCCCAGCTTGGGCGGGGCCTGGGGCGGGGCCGGCTGGCGAAGAGCAAGGCGGTTCAGCCACCAGCCTCTACCTCTTCCTGCTCAGAGGGTCTAGTTGTGAGACTGGGGCAGTGGGAAGTGGTCTGGAGCCCGATCACATCCCAGCCCCACCCCTCTGAGCCTCAGTTTCCTCGTAAGTTGAATGGGCATCACAGCAGTGGGGCCCACCAACGATGCCCCGGAAACACGCGGCGGGTGGAGACGTCCCAGATCTGGCGCCATAGCTAGTATCTGGGTCTGTGTGCCCTCTACAGAGAAGCCCCTGAGGACCAAACGGAAGAAGCCCCCTCCTCGGGAGAGAGGGGACCCCGGGGGGCCCAACGACGAAGACCCTGATGCCAGGAGCCACTTGGCAGCACCGCCCAGGTATGCCGGGGTGCTCAGCCACTGTGCACTGCCCCTGGCACATCCAGCCAGGCAATCCCACGCATAGAGCCTGTAAGCCGGGAGAACTGCTCCCTGGAGTTCCTGGGTGTGTGAGTCCAGGTAGACTAGAGAAACAAAATGTATAGACACTCATGTGTATAAGAAAGAGCTTTATATACAAGAGCAACTGAATATTGAGAAAGCATCCCCCAGCCCAGACCAGATCAAGTCCATAAGTCCAATATTAGCCCAGATGTCTGATACCAATCTACAAATTCCTCTTCAGACTCACACAACACATGCAATGACACCAAATGCAGCAAGATCACTGGCCAGTGGGTGGAAAGCCTTGTGGACCCAGTGGCAGTGGAAGCATCTCAGTGCTGGAGGGGATCTCCACGTGGCTCCACCAGCTGTAGGGCTTCGTGTGTCTGTCAGCAAGCATGTCTTGCAGGGAGTGAGCCTGTGCCCCGCCTCCAGCCAGCTATTTAGCTCCTTAGCACCTCCAAATGGGGTCATCAAGCTGCGACCTGATTGACAGGCTAGACCCCACCGTTTCACTCTCAGATTGACAACAGAGGACGTGACTACCACACCGAGGCTGCGGATCTCTGTGGGAGTGGTGGCGGTGTTGCTGCTGTTGTTGTTAGGTGCCAGCAGTTGTGATGCACACCGAACAGAACACTGCCCAGTCCCGCCCCGCCCTCACAGTGCTTCCTCTGCCTGAGCCCATGGCTGCAGCCACGGTGTCTGTCCATGTCCTTAAGGGCCTTCCTCTTTCCGTTGCACCTCCACCTTACCAAACATGATGCCCTTCTCCAGGGACTGGTCTCTCCTGACGGCACGTCCAAAGGACGTAAGGCAAAGCCATCCTGGCCTCTAAGGAGCGCTCTGCCTGGACTTCTTCCAAGACAGATGTTTGCCTTCTCAGCAGCCCATGGGCTTTCACTATCCTATGGGAGGAGACCCTGTTCTCTTTCTCCCTCGGAGCAACTGGTGGGTTTTGAACTACCAACCTTGTGGTTAACAGCCCACTGCGCCACACAGGCTCCATTGAATGACCCAAGCCAGGTGCGAAAGGCCAGCTGCTGTATGACCCCACTTGTAGAAAATATCTAGAATCGGCAAAGCGCCAGAGGCCAAAGTTCACTCCCAGTCACCAGGGAGGTGGGGAGCAGGGCAAGGATGTCTGTCGCAGGGGATGAGAAAAATGGGGACATGTACATGGGGGAGGTGCACAGTAAGCCCATTGAGGGGTGGGTGCACAGTAGGTCTCCCAGGTGGGGGCACATAGTAGGTCCACCCAGGCCTGGGCACATTGTAGGTCCTTCCCAGGGGAGGCCCACCTGAGTGTGAGTACACAGTAGGTCAGCCTAGGTGTGGGCACACACACAGTAGGTACAGTAGGTCTGCCCAGGGGAGACACAGGTAAGTCGGCCAGGGTGGTGGTGCTCAGTATATCTACTCAGGTGGCCATGCCCAGGAGACAGGAGAAGGTCCACGGTGGAGGCACACAATAGGTCCACCCAAGTGTGGGCACATAGTAGGCCCTGTCAAGGGAAGATACAGTAGGCCTGCCTGCTGTAGGAGTACGGTGGATCTGCCAAGGTCAAGGCACACAGGAGGTCTGCCAGGTGTGAATCCACAGTTGGTCTCCCCAGGTGGAGACACAATAGTTCTGCCTGGTTGGTGACACTCAGTAGATCCACTTAGGTATGGGCACGCAGTAGGTCATGCCTGGGAGACATACAGTAGGAGGTCTTCCCACATGTGAGTACACAATTGGTCTGCCGAAGGGAAGACGCACAGTAGGTCCTGCAACGGGGAGACACAGTAGGACTGCCTGGGTGGTGGTGCTCTGTAGATCCACCGAGGTGGTCATGCCTGGGGACACAGAGTAGGTCGCTAAGTAGATGCACACAGGAGGACCACCCAGGTGAGGCACACAATGGGTCATACCCAGAGAACACACAGTAGATCTACCCAGGTGGAACGTGACCCGCGCCGAGTGGACCCTGGTCTGGACTGACCACGTGGGTTCTAACTGACTGACTTCTTCCTCGTTTGCAGCCTCAAGAGGGCAGAGTCAGACAGGCAGTGACGCTGGTGATGCCAAAATGGTCAAGAAGGGCCAGAATCGCCTGGCCGGGCAGTGACCTGGGCAGAGTCTGAGATCCTGAGAGGGGCTCTGCAGACCCCACCCCACACCTGCCCCTCAGCCTTGAGGAAGACTATGGAGCCGGGAAGGGGGAGCTGGGCCATCGGGTGAAGAAGAGGGTCTCCCCTGGGGTCTCGCAGGCTGCCCGGAGTCTGATGGCCCCGTGCTTGGGGAAATGAGGGGCCGAGCGTCGGGAAATGCATCTTTGCAGGTTTCTGGCCCGTGTTCCTGCCCCGGAACTATTAAGCGCTCCGATGCTGACCCAAAAGTCGGTGGTTCAAACCCCCAGCCACTCTGCAGAACAAAGACAAGACGTGTGCTCCTGTCACAGTTAGTTTGGGAAACCCGAGGGGGCCATTCTGCTCTGTCATGTGGAATCACGATGAATTGGAATGGGGGTCCAACCCTGGGACCCTACACTACGGGGACCCTCCCCCTGAGCTGTGCTGACGCCAGCACCATGGGTGTGTGCCGGTTTCGGCCCTGGGTCCTCCACGAGGTGCCCTCACCCTTAGTCTTGGCCTCTGTCACCTGGCCACCCCACGCCCATGCGCCACAGCCACCCACCAGTAGCGGAAACGTATAGAGAGACGGAGGAGG